CTCTTGGAAGAGAGTATTATATAAATTAAGAAATAAGTTCATCATTAAAGGTAACTGAAAAATAAGAAACAATAACCTAATAGGGCTCTGTAACTGGGGTTTAAAAAATCAATATCACCATTACATGACAGCCAAGAATTAGGGCTTTCTGTATGCTGTTATCTTGTGGTTATCTGTATTTTTTATGCTGAGATTTGGTAGTCCAACACTACACAAATTGAATTAATAAATAACTATCCATTACTTATAATGAATTCTATTTCTGCTTTAAGAACTTAAGTTTTTTTTTATATACTTTCCACAGAGAATTCTGTATGTCAACTTGTTTTATGTTATTCAGTTTTAGGCTAATAAACTATTTTTTATTGAATTAATATGAAAAGTTCCTTTTCAAAAAACAAAAATTATGTTATCAATAGCAACTCAGTTGATTAAAAAAATCTAATAATTTGATTCATCAATAAAAACAAAATTTTATTTCATCTATACAAATACAGTCACATGTGCCAAGTTAAAGATAGCTGACAATTCATCTGAAAGGTTACAAGAGGTTACAAAGAGGGCATGTTTACTTTGAATATTATTTTGAAAGGAAGCTAACACAGCCAGTCTTCTATCAAAAATAATTGGAGTAAGAAACTAGCATAAATCATTGCTGATATGGTATTTTGGCTTCACCATTATAATTCAATAACTACCTCACTTAAACATATTTGGTTTGTAATCTTCAAAAAAGTAATACAATTATCAAAGAACCAGATATTCAGGATCATGTTTTATTAGTTTAATTTTGCTATATTTTAACTCAAGTATTTTGCTACAACTTTTGGTAAAGATCTCTAATAAAACAATACCATAGCAAAAAATTGTCATTTCATATTACTGTTAGTGATATTGATGGTAATTATCATGATTGTCCGAGGTCGTCCTGAGGAACACAGAGCAGGAACGCCGAACGAAGCTTATTCTTTGACAAATTTAAAGTCGGCACTGGGAGTGGTCATCTCCCAGTGCCTTATATAAGAGTGCCACACCCCTTACTCCCACCCCCCGGTGCAAACCAACATCCACCCTAACCCTGTATAAACCCCTCCCTCGGGCCCCTATGCCCTTCCGCTAACAGGAGCCTGCTACCCTGCTGCTACCCAACACGGCCGCCCGCACCCACATTCATGCCTCCACTGGTCTCTGGGTCAACATTGCCCCACATAACAGCCTTTTGGCGACTGCTTGCACCTCCGTCGGCCTGTCGCCTCGGCAAACTGGTGCCGCCTGGCTCCACTCACCCGAGCCGAGCGCTTCCTGGCTCTGCCCTCCCGAGCCGGGCTCGTTGTAACCTTCGTCAGTGTTCGGTATGTCTGCTCTTGACCTCCGTACGTTAACAGACTCCCGGGGCATGATGGGAGGTGGGAGCGGAGGCATCGGTCTCGGCCGCTGGAATGGCGTCAGCAGCTTTCTGGTGCTTTTCCTACACCCGGCAGCTCGCGGTGGTAAGCGTTGTGCTGTGTCACCCCCCCCTGTGAATGGCAAGCCCCACAGGGCTTGACAGTAATATTTTTGTTATTTTATCTATTATGAGTTTTGTCCCATGAACATCTTATTTATTGTACTTTATACTGCATTATGAACGACCATGAATATTGTAAAAATGGAGAGCATACCAATTTAATAAATAATAATAGCAATACATTTAGCACTTGAGTGCTGATCATAGAAATATATTCCATGAACATCTGTCCAATTTTCCTGTTATTTTCTTCTGCCTAGGCAAGTGGGCTGACTTTGGCCTTGTGCAGTTTATTTCTCCTCTTTTATCATCCAAAGAAGTCATCAATATGTTTTAAATTTAAAGAAGGAATTAATTTTAGAACATAAGTTATATGTGGTTGCACACCCAAACTCTTTTGAATTTTTAGCAATGTCTATGCCCAAAGCATCATATCTAAACATAGTTCCCAATACAACTCATCACCTCAAGAAAAAATAAAGATTATATGGGAATTGGGGGGGAGAGAATGTATCTATTTTCTTCATCAATTTCTCAAGAAACCTGCAATGATTTAGATTAGTTGGATTAGTTAAGCTTTAAATTCCAACTCTAATCTATACTCATCCAAATAAAATTCAAGACCTAAATTAATAGAGTGAATCAAATAGAATAGGATCTTCAAGCACCTATTTAACAACCTATAGATATGAGCTACATTCTTCCTCAAAATAAAATAGTTTTTTGCTGCCAGAGAACCCATCAAGGACCTTTCAAACAATGATCAAGAATGTATCTTAGGATCCTATCTTACCTATTCTAGACTACGGCTTTTCTACATGTGTCAACCAACTTAAAAAGAACATGTCAATATGCTCATCTCCTAAATATAACAGTCACGAATGAAGGCAAATATACATCTCTCAGGATAATGTTGCAGGATTCAATCTGGATCGGTCACCAGGACCAGAGATTTGTCTTCCCAGCTTTCGGACTTGTGCTACAACCCATCTTCAAGGAACTTCTCTCTAGCAGGAACTTCTCTGAAGATGAGCTCCAGTACAAGTCTGAAAACTCAGAAGACAAAACCTCTGGTCCCACTGACCGACCCAGATTGGATCCTAGAACATTAATCCACAAAAAAACAGAGGATATCTTCATTTAAATACCCCTTGAGGAAGGCACCTGAAAATCTTGTCAGAATTAGGGTTGTATCTATTATTCTTTTAAAAAATGCAATATTTATATCAATGAATTTTAAGATTAAAATTGCTTCAAGTATTTGCTTCAATTGCTTGCTTCAATCTCAGATAATATACTTACATATTTTGCTTGTAAGAGTGGTAATTCATTTAAATATATTTATAAAGGCACTCTCGCTGAAGTTCAGGGAAGAGTAAACGGTATTCACTACAAAGCATAGTTTGGTTTGTAAAGTACCTTGCTTATTCTTTTTTTAATACACATTATTGATACAAATGTAATAAAAGCCAAGCAGGATCCATTTCTAAGTTTCATAAACAAAAATAGAAAATATTTACATGCAAAGTTTATTACACTGAGGAGGGTTGTAAAGAAGAAGTACTTAGCATGTGATGATGCTGTAGTATTATCATACCGGAAGCTATAAAACTATAACTGTGAATTATAATATTACAAATACAAAAACTGTAAATTACAAATACCTTATATATACCAAAATGATGATTCTAGACTAGAGCAACAGTGAGCTATACTGTTACCATGCAACTTGGATACACATATTTTATTTGTTCTGTCAAATTAAGACATTTAAAAAAACACTAATAAAGACTTTGAGCTAATTTCAGCATGCATAATCAAATCCACAGCAAAATTAAAGAGGCATGTACCATTGCAAAAGCATTTCTTAATCTATCCTAACCAGTTTCCATCAACAGTTGACCCCACCCTCCTATTGTTGATGCTTTAAGTAAGAGGACACTTTGTTCTATCATATGACTATCATGGATGTTACTCACCAACTCTTATCTTTCCAAACCCCCTCAGTCTTTATTAAGTATGCTATAAAAACCAACTCAAAACAGCATACTCCAGTATCAAAGCAACAGATATAAAGCACAGTTCTAAGAAGCTGTAAGGATGAAAGCCTATTAAACTATAACATACTTTCCAACTGTAATTTTTGCTACAAAGTATCTGTGAGAAAGATTCATATTCCTAAAACCAAACCATACCCAAGGATTTCTATTTGCATCTAAAATTGCAACTTACAAAACTTTTTTAAAGAGTTATACCACTGATCTGAGAATTACTTCTAAATATACATCTTAAGTGTGCAGAGCTAATTGTTTTAATACAGTCTGAGAAGAAAATTAGCACTGAGGTAAAATGAAGACAACAACAAAGAAAAATATCTGTTATGTTACAGAATACCTTGCCTCTGAGAAGATTGCTAGTTCCACAAGAGGTAGCCTCAGTTCTCACTTAAGAAAGCAAGACTACAGGCAGTGGTTAAAAGGTACAATAAATGTTGTATGTTTGTAGCCAACTTTTGGTATATGAATGAGCCATCTATATGTTTCCTAGAAAACCTCAGACACACACAGGCATTCCAGGACAGTCCTGAGTTCTCTGATTGTGCCTGAAATATCCTGTTCTACATAATAAGGCCATTCTCTACCTATAAGTGATCTTGCATTAAGTGTCAAATCTAAACCTTATGTCCAATTTCTTCAAAAGAGGGACAGGCAGACTAATCTAGTTCCAAACCAAGGCTGAGTGCAATAAAGCCTAACCCTTTGTCTCACCACCCTGGGAATCTCTACCCTCCACTAAGATGATTTCTTTTGGGGATGCCACACCCACAAAGACTCTCCGGATGACAACAGCTACAAGGACGGGAGGGTATTCAGAGCAGCTCCTGACCTTGCTCATCCCAAGGAGCGCTTACTACGCAGGAAGCGCCGGTCCAGCCAGCCAAGATACCAATCTGGACTTCTCAAGAGTGGTTGAGTAAGAACAATTGGGTAAAACATCCTCAGCCCCACCCATGCCCAAGACGAAGACTCAGTCCCTACAGGCAGCAGCAGCGGCATCCCCACGCCACGAAGCTTTTACCTGCACCAAAGCACGGGGCCGGATATCTACTGTATAGCTCAACGCTGCTCAGAAAAGAAAAGCATCGAGCATGGGGATAGACTCGGGATCTGGAGGATGGGGGGGAGGGTGTCGATCTTTTTTCTTTGCAGGCAATTTTCGTACGTGACACTATTACAAACCACCATCGTAAGGCAGCATTTCAGCCAGCACTTGCAGACCAAATGCTTTCACCCCTCCCAGGCTTCGCGGACACGTTCTCCAGCCGTGGCACTTTTTTTAAGGGGGGGGGGAATCAGCCGGTTTTTAATCCCCGCTGGATTCCCGGGCAAGCGGCGAACCAGCCCAGGGGGCAACCCCTTCTCTTCCCTTCCTTCCCCTCCCCAACTCCGGCCGGGCAGAAGAGGCGAGGCGGGGCCGCTTCCAAGCCTCTCACCGCGATGACGTTGACGAAGGTGGTCTTGCCCGAGTACTGCAGCCCGACCAGCGTCAGCTCCATCTCTTCCTTCCAGAAGAGCGACCGGAACCAATCCAGCAGCCGAGACAACAAGGCCAGCATGGTGGCAGCGACAGCAGCCCAGCCGCGTCTCTACCCGCCTCTCCGTCTCTCCCTGCGTCCGCCTCGCCTGTCTCGTTCCGCTTCGCCTCCGTCACCACGACACCGACTCCGGCGGCTGCAGCTGTTCCCCTCTGGCTCCTCGCGTCGTGGTCATATGACGGGTTGGCGTGCCGTAGGAGAAGAACGGCCCCGTCCCTCCGGCTTCCTCGAGGATGGCCTCACAGCGGCCTCTGCCGGCAACGGGATGCCTCCACACCTGTGGAAGACTAAGGGAGGGAGGCGGAGAGGCCGAGACAGGCAGACAGAAAACTTCCGTAGCATTCTACTACCTGATAGCTTATAAGGCAGTGTTTCTCAACCTTGACAATTTTAAGGCATGTGGACTTCATCTCCCAGAATTCCACAGCCAGCATTGCTTATAACAGAAACACTGTTATAAGGCAACAAAAGGAGACGCGGGCAGAGTTGGAGGCAGAGCAGGTCTGTGTTGAAGATATCTGCTCTTTTCTCCCGTTGCAATTAGGTGCAATTCCTGCCTGGCCCGGATCAGGAAGAAATTTGAGCCAGAATTCATTTTGAAATTATTTTAAATGAAATCTTGATTCTGGATGAATGTTATTTTGTTTGTGCTCGCGTGTCTTTGAGTCAGTTTTGACTCCTGGCGACTGCCCGGACAAATCTCTGCAGTTTTCTGGGCAAGAGTTTGGAAAGGGTTTGCCTGCCGTTGCCTGCTTCCTAGGGCTTATTATTTATTTAGTGTATGGCATATCATACATGGACTAGCAATATATATTAATGTTTCATCTAGATTATTAAAACACAATAAAATATAAATGTTAAAAAGATCTAGGTTCAAATACCAATGTGTAGGCCAGGGGTCCCCAGCCCCCGGTCCGTGGACCAGTACTGGGCTGCGGCATGCCAGCAACCAGTCTGCACAAACAAGGAAAGACCCATGTACAGGATGCAGGGAGCGCACAAAACCAGCGCTCTCCCATCCATGGAAAAACCTCTCTCCATGGAACTGGTCCCTGGTGCCCAAAAGGCTGGGGACCTCTGGTATTTGAAGCACAATATTGTTGATAGATAGATAGATAGATAGATAGATAGATAGATAGATAGATAGATAGATAGATAGATAGATAGATAGATAGATATTGGACTGGTATATGCCCTCAGTTTACAACCAGTCATATGTGATGTAGAGTTTGATGTGGGACCTTGCAGTCCCATTAGGGAGGATGCCCCATTTTTACAGAAAGTCCAAGCAGATCCCATGTGAGGTGCAAATCCTATTCAGGATTGTCCATTGTTGACTTCGTAGTTCAAAGCCTAGCACCTTTTTTAATGGGGTCATTAAGTGTCTTCCTATATCTTCATACAGTATTAACCTTGTGAACTCTCAAGCTTCCTCTTCTGCTATATATTCAAGATGGACAGTGATTAATATTTATATGTATTTATATGTAAGATTGTGTGTATGTGTGTATATATATGTTGTATATAGCATGTTTATATGTGTGTTATGTATGTGTACACTTTATTTATTTATTTATTTATTTATGAGACTTATATACCGCTTTAAGTGCAAGCACTCTCTAAGCGGTGTACACCAGTAAGCAATGTATATATATATTTACATTGCCCCAACAATCTGGGTCCTCATTTTACCTACCCCGGAAGGATGGAAGGCTGAGTCAACCTTGAACCGGTGAGATTTGAACCGCTGACCTGCTGAACACAGTCAGCTAAAGTGGCCTGCAGTACTGCACTCTAACTGCTGCGCCACCTCGGCTCTTTTGAGAACAAGCAACAGAATTTCATTGTTAATATGTGCCAGTGTGCCCACAGCAAAAAAATAACAAAGCTTATCTTACCTTACCTTACCTTATCTCTTATCTTGCATCTTATCTTATCTTATCTTGTCTCTTATTTTATCTTATCTATCCTATCTTACCTTGCCTTATCTCATCTCATCTTATCTTTCCTCTCAGCTTCAGTGTTAAAGATGTTGGGCAGATGTTGTGTAAGTGCCAGTGGGGGTTTCCTGGATTTGTCTTCTGGCTGATAAAAGAGGTATGCCTCCATAGGAGTGAGTTGTTCGTAATTTTTCTGTATTTCTGTATTCCCTCACTAGTGCATCTTGCCTTCATAAAGTTGGTGATGTTACATGGCTCAGAGCATGAAGCCAGTAAGTCAGAGTGGTTTTAATTCCTAGGGCTGAGAGAAAATGACTAGTCCAAAGCCATCCAGCTGGCTAGCAGGACTAAAATGTATGTTCCCCCAGTTTCTAACAATTCAGTTGAGGGGTAACTTAACTATCTTGTTTGATTGCCCTGTTTCCATCTCAGGATGTAGACACATTTGATGTGCTTGGTATAGAACATGATACTTTCTGTCTTTAAGGTGTTTTTTTATTTATTTAATTTAGGATGGATACTGAAACACCACTGGTTTGCGCCAAGCATTCTGTGGTCTTATGCAGTCAAGGATTGCATGCAAGACTTGATGTTTACTTTAAAATGATGATGTGATCAGAATATGGAGAACAGTCTTTTGCCATGATCAGATCACTCTGGTACGCATACATATTGTTCTCTCACACAAACTGCACGAATAATAGACAAATAGTTGGACTAAGAAACCAGCTGAATCCAGAGAGTGTTTTGAAGGTGCTTGGAAATTTTTCCCAGAGAAAAAAAAGAATGTATCCCACTGTACTCTTTATCACTAGGAAGTTAAATGAGATTGCTCCCAAGCTGCTGCTTTTTATGCCAGATAGCAGGGGCTTTCTTGAAACTTAGAGCAATAGTGGCAGAAAACAAATTAAATCAACTGAATATGGACACAGGAATATACTGTGGCAATAGAAGCAGCAAAGCATGTCTTCTACATTCTTACTGCATCTGCAGACTATCATCCAGCAACCTTTGTGGGAGTTACCTCATGCTACTTTGGGAAAGACAGGGGTGAATATTGCTCATTGGGCCACTGTGACATATCTCTACAATTCTTTACAGAACATATTTGCTCAGAGATGAGGAATCTTGCAAAATAACTCAAATAACGCCTTGTGACTCAAAGCAACATTCTTTTGATCTTGTAGCAATCGAGGAACTAGATAGGTTTATCTGTGATATGAGCTATACCATCTATAGGCTGGAGCCATTAATCCATCTATTGTCTTTAAACAGAGCAGAACAGAACAGAATAACATAGTTGGAAGGGACCTTATAGGTCAGTGGTGGCGAACCTTTTAGAGACCGAGTGCCCAAACTGCAACCCAAAACCCACTTATGCATCGCAGGGTGCCGGATGTGCGTGGCCACTGAGTGGGCATGGCCACCGAACTATCAGCTCATCTCGCTTGCTCACTTGCTGTCCACTCCAACTCGTGCTCGCTCTCTCGCTGTCTGCAGCAAATGCTGCTTCCACCAAAACTTGTTCCTTTTATAGCCCCACGCCTATTCCCAGACTGTGCATGCACAGAGAGAAGGAGGAAGCAGCTCAGCCCAGCAATGGCTCATGTGCCACCAGAGACGGCTCTGCATGCCGCCTGTGGCACACGTGCCATAGGTTCGCCACCACAGTTAAAGGTCAACTAGTCCAATCCCCTGCCCAAGCAGGAGTCCCTACATCATTTCTGACAGATGGTAGTCCAGTCTTTTCTTGAAAGCCTCCAATGATGAAGCACCAACATCTGAAGGCACTTTGTTCCTTTGGTTGATTGTTCTCGCTGTCAAGAAATTTCTCCTTAATTCTAGGTTGAATCTCTCCTTGATCAGTTTCCATCTGTTATTCCTTGTCTGGCCTTCAGATGCTTTGGAAACTAGTTTGATCCCCTCCTATCTATGACAGCCCCTCAAATATTGGAACACTGCTGTCATGTCTCTCCTGGTCCTTCTCTTCACAAGACTAGCCATGCCGCGTTCCTGTAACTCTTTGTCATATGTTTTAGCCTCCAGTCCCCTAATAATCTTTGTTGCTCTTCTCTGCACTTTTTCTAGAATCTCAACATCTTTTTTATAGTGTGGAGACCAAAATTGGTTGCAGTATTCTAGGTATGGTCTTACTAAGGCTTTATAGAGTGGCATTAGTACCTCATGTGATCTTGATTGAATCCCTCATTAATGCAACTTAGGATTGCATTGGGTTTTTTGCCTGCCGCCACACACTATTAGCTCATATTTAATTGATTGTCCAATAAGACTACAAGATCCCTCTCACAGTTGCTGCTATTAAGCCTGGTTTCACCCAATCGATATGTGTACTTTTGGGTTTTCTTGCCTAAGTGTAAGATTTTACTTTTCTCTACATTGAATTTCATTTTGTTAGATAGGGCCCAATGTTCAGGTCTGTCAAGATCACTTTGGATCTTAAGCCTAGAATGTTGGCTATTCCTGCTAGCTTAGTGTCATCTGCAGATTTGATAAGTTCCCCTTTTATTTCGTCATCTAGGTCATTTATGAAGATGTTGAAGAGTACCGGGCCTAGGACAGAATCTTGTGGTACCTCACTGTTTACTTCCTTCCATGTAGATGTAGTACCATTAAGGACTACTCTTTGAGCGCGGTTTGTCAGTCACTTAAAAATTCATCTGATGATGATGCTATCCCACTTTTTTTAAGCTTTCCAAGAAGTAGGTTTTGGTCTATTTTGTCAAATGCCTTGCTGAAGTCCAATTATACCATGTCCACAGCATTCTGCTAGTCCACCAATTTAGTCACCGGATCAAAGAATGAAATAAGATTGGTTTGGCATGATCTGTTTTTAACAAACCTGTGCTGGCTTCTAGTTATAACTTATAAAGGACCAGGCATGGTGTTTGTGGCTGGATTTGGGAGGTGGTTAAAACTTCCTTAAAAAGTGTTGTCTATTTTGAAAGGGAATGTCTTGATCAAGTTGTAATACACAACTACTGCTCAATCTCAAATCTCCTATTTTGGCAAAAGATTATGGACGTGCTGATGGAGTTTCAGCTAAAGAGGATCCTAAACAAAATAGATTATCTCAATGCTTCCCAGTCAGGAGAAACTAAACAGGACTGATGGATCCAAACAAGCTCATACCCAATATCTCTGTTTAACTGATCCAACTGGCTCAATCCCAGTTACGAGGTTAGTTTTGGAAAAGAGGGGAGGACATCTGTGACTTGAGTCCTCTTGGACTGAAATCTCTTCTGGAT